GGGTTGCTGGGTTGTACTATGCATTTTGCGGCGTCGGCGTATGACCTGACACGGGCGTACTTACTTGATGGGAAAGGGAAAGAGAGAGGGGGGGAAAGGAAACGGAGAGAGCGCCCCCCCACCCACACATCCACATCCCTTCACACTTGCACACCACGCCCGTGCTCCGTGCTTAGACTTTTTTCTTCCAAGGATAAGCTACAGCATGCTGCAGCGAGACGAAGGAGGACGGACCCTTACAGCGTCTGCGCAGGCAGAGACAGACGTAGAATCAGACACAGAGGCAGAGAGACCGGCGGGCGGACAGGACAGGACAGCTAGCTGCAGCGAATTAGCGGTTTTCCTCCCTGTGTTGGTAGGGCAGGCCAGCTGAGCTCAGCTGGTAGGTACTTCTTGGTTTGTTGTGGCGTGTGTGGTTCTCACGTCGATCAGTCAAGTCAGCCTCAGTGCCTCAGTGCATCGCTAGTCATCAGTCAATGAAGCCAGCCACGCTAGCTACATCACACCATCCCAAAGAGGAGGGAGGAGGGAGGGAGGGAGGGAGCAAAGGCTTCCATACGCACAGCCCGCTCCTCTCGAATGCACTAACGAATGACTATGCGCCTGCCTGCCTGCCTGCCTGCATACACACGTGCCTCTATGACGAGTGCCACCCAGCGACCCCATCAATCGTCAGTTCCCCGTCTGTCTGTCTGTCTGTCTGTCAGTCATGGTGTGTGTAGCTGTCTGTCTGTTGGTTTGTTCTGCTGCTTTGCGGACGGACGCCGGATGCCGGATGCTGGCAACCATGCACAATATGTCCACCGCTGCATGTGCTGGCTGCGTGCGCATGAGCCGACGTGCGCCTTGCTTGATGGCAATGATTGCGATTGCGCTCCTTCTGTGTCCGTGTCTGTCTGTCTGTCTACTGGACTGACTGCATGCCCGCCCGTTGGTTGGTTGGTTGGGTGAGTGCGCGAGTGAGATATTAAAGAGCCGCCTGCCCTGCCTGCCTGCCTGCCTGGTTTGTGCGTATCTGCTGCCTGTCTGCTGTGTGAGTGTGTCCATGGAAGCAAGCGGTGCAGAGAACGACCGATGCACACGGACCGATGGATGGACGCAATTAAGAGCCTGAAACCCCATTGCAAGTTTACCTTACGGTGTATCAAATCATGGCGTCCTCATCGAACGAAGGTTCCGAGATCTCCGACGACGAGCACAAGCTGGGCCAGCAGTGGGTGGCGAGGCCTATTTTTTAGACAGACAGACAGACAGACAGGTGTGTGTCTTTGGGTGGGCGGTGTTGTGGTGCACACACGGCATAATGACTGGCTAATTTGCGTTGTGTTGCGTTGCTTTGCTTTGAGTTTTCGTCGGCGGACTGGACTCCGTGCGGAGCCCTCCTTGCTTTGCCTGCGTGCTGTGGCTGTGCCGTGACCTCTTCGTGTTCATCTATCCAATTCACTAATTCAGACCGCACACCCACCCCGCACACAGCACATGTAGAGCAGCCAAAAAGTCTTGCCACGAAGAGGTCAGCGCGAGCCGGTCGCTGTGCCTCCGGGCCCTCGGTGGCTGCTTCGGGGGGGAGCGGCTGATGCATGCCATGCCTGTGTATACGTGACGGATTGATGGACGGATTGACGTGTGTGTGTGTGTGTGTGTGGGCAGGAAATGACCGACCGTGTGAATGCATTGCAATGCGTTCATTTCATGACAGGCAGACAGGCAGACAGCACCAACACCACAATTGCTTATATATTGGGCAGCCAGCATCAGCGGCAGGCTCCACGATCCACATCCCATACCATGCTGCATGTGGTGGCTGAGTGGGTAAAAGAGTGAGTGACTGAGTGAGTGAGTGAAAGGCACACGAGTGAGTGAGCAAATTGGCATTCATTCACACACACGGGTCAGTCAGTCAATGAATTAGTCTGTCATCTCACAATCACACCACACCACACCAGTCAGTCCCCAACCAACACGCGGTATTGTTCTTATTATCACATGTGTGTATGTGCGATAGATAAAACACCACTACTATCCACAGACACATATAGTAACCCAGGCAGGGAGGGAGGGAGAGAAGAAGGAGAGAGAGCGCGCTTTGCGACGCGACGTCGACATGACGGAGTGAGTGAGTAAACACACACGACGGGACGGACACACACACTCAGACAGACACAGACACAGACACACACAGCACGCCACGCAATGCAATTCACTTAGACTCTGTCTGTCTGTGCGCCTGTCTCTCTGTGTGTACGTCAAGACGCACAAAACAGTTTACAGACAGACACAGACATTCATTAACTAGGCAGCCATCCATCCATCCATCCAGAGGCCACTCACTGTACTGGGTCCCTCTCCCCCCAGGTGCCGATCACCGACGGGAGAGGCGCCCTCTCGCCCTCACCCACACACGACTCCCCGCCCACACACACACCACCAGCCCCGGCTGCCCGCACCTCTCCCAGGCTGCTGTGCGTCTCGTCGCTGCTGGACATTGAGGCGTACAGCTTGGCCGTGTCGCTCGGGGACTCGGAGGGGTGGTCACCCTGGCTGCCCGTCGTTCTGGCCTGGTGGTCCAGTTCTAGCCGATCTGCCGCCAGCTTCGCCTGGGGGCACACACATATGAATGAATGAGATGCAGACAGTCACGATGGATGGATGGATGGATGGTCACTCACCTGTTCGTCCCAGTCGATGCGTGAGAGCAGCCGCGCCAGGCTGAGTACGTTGATAAGGCAGGCCAGCACGAGCCCAGACAGCAGCCCTGTCAGCTTCATCCCGGCCCACCCGAACCACATGACCAAACCAAAGGGAATGCCGATGGGATAATACGCCACGAGATTGACAATTGCCGCCACCCTCTGCTGACCCACCCCACTCATGGCGCCCCTCAGGGCGTGGTAGATGGTGTCCAGCGCAAAGGCCGCACCCAGCACTCACCGGAGTCCCTACACACCTCCTTCCCTCGACTCGACTCACCTTTCCTTGGTGTCAGGCGACGCCCTTCTCCTCTCACCCACCTTCTCCATCTTGCTCTCGCCGTCGAGCATTGCAGCCAGCATGCAGACTGGGGGCGGCACTCAGCTGGTGAGAGAAAGACGCCTACAGGAAAAAGATGCAGGGCAGAAGCTGGGGGCGTGTGTGCAAGATAATGTGACTATGGGCTCTGAGGGCTTACCAAGCAGAGGGAATGGCGTTGTGTGTGTGGGTCATGAGAAGAATCCCAAGTTGCTCAAAAGGTATCCCACCTCGGGAATGACGAAGTAAAGACCATATAGGCCGGTCTTCATCGCAATCGCATCTCCACACCAGCATACAAAAAGTCTGCTACAGGCCCTTGACGTCCTTGCCGATTCCTTGAGGTCCTTCATCCTTTTCCTGAGCCGACAAGCGCACAGACAGAGAGAGATCTCATGTGGGAAGCCTTCTGGCTGCTTCTCGCTTCGTGTGTGGCCTCTCTGTGTGTGCGCCTCTCTGCTGCTGTTGTGTTTTCGGAGAGGGCATGTGCCGTTAGCAAGCCCTAGCACCACCCAAGCTCGCAACTGTAAACACTCTCTGATTTTAGGGCTTCTTCCTATTGCAGGGGGGCGGGGCGGCGGCTGATGTGCTCAACTAAACCCTAACTATGCGTAGGGTTTGCGAATTTCGTGAATGCGGTCGGTGTGCAGGAGTACGCAGCGCGCAGGACGCAGGCAGGCACCTTCCCACACACGGATGTGCGCAGGGGTGGGCTGTGTGTGCAGAGAGAGAGCAAGGGAGGGAGGGAGGGAGGGAGGGAGGGGGCGTGCACTGCGCACGTGCCCCTCTCTCTCTCTCTCTGTGTGTGTGTGTGTGTGGGAAATGACCGACCGTGTGAATGCAATCATTCCATGACAGCCAGACAGGCAGACAGCACCAACACCACAATTGCTTATATATTGGGCAGCCAGCATCAGCGGCAGGCTCCACGATCCACATCCCATGCCATGCTGCATGTGGTGGCTGAGGTGAGTGGGTAAAAGAGTGAGTGACTGAGTGAGTGAGTGAAAGGCACACGAGTGAGTGAGCAAATTGGCATTCATTCACACAAACGGGTCAGTCAGTCAGTCAGTCAATGAATGAATTAGTCTGTCATCTCCCATCACACCACACCACACCAGTCAGTCCCCAACCAACACGCGGTATTGTTGATAATTATTATCACATGTGTGTGTGTGCGATAGATAAAACACCACTACTTTCCACAGACACATATAGTAACCCAGGCAGGGAGGGAGGGAGGGAGGGAGAGAAGAAGGAGAGACAGCGCGCTTTGCGACGCAATGTCGACAGACATGACGGAGTGAGTGAGTAAACACACACGACGGGACGGACGGACACACTCAGACAGACACACACAGCACGCCACGCAATTCAATTCACTTAAACTCTGTCTGTCTGTCTGTGCGCCTGTCTCTCTGTGTGTACGTCAAGACGCACAAAACAGTTTACAGACAGACACAGACATTAGGCAGCCATCCGTCCATCCATCCGTCCATCGAGAGGCCACTCACTGTACTCGGCCCCTCTCCCCCCAGGTGCCGATCACCGACGGGAGAGGCGCCCTCTCGCCCTCACCCACACACGACTCCCCGCCCACACACACACCACCAGCCCCGGCTGCCCGCACCTCTCCCAGGCTGCTGTGCGTCTCGTCGCTGCTCGACATTGAGGCGTACAGCTTGGCCGTGTCGCTCGGGGACTCGGAGGGGTGGTCACCCTGGCTGCCCGTCGCTCTGGCCTGGTGGTCCAGTTCTAGCCGATCTGCCGCTTGCTTCGCCTGGGGGCACACACATATGAATGAATGAGATGCAGACAGTCACGATGGATGGATGGATGGTCACTCACCTGTTCGTCCCAGTCGATGCGTGAGAGCAGCCGCGCCAGGCTGAGTACGTTGATAAGGCAGGCCAGCACGAGCCCAGACAGCAGCCCTGTCAGCTTCATCCCGGCCCACCCGAAGCACATGACCAAACCAAAGGGAATGCCGATGGGATAATACGCCACGAGATTGACAAGTGCCGCCACCCTCTGCTGACCCATCCCACTCATGGCGCCCCTCAGGGCGTGGTAGACGGTGTCCAGCGCAAAGGCCGCACCCAGCACCGGCAGGTGGCGGAGCATCGACCGCTGCACCTCAGCTGTGGACGCCAGCGCACGAGTCAGCTCCTGATTATTGACATACACACGTCGGCACACCACACGCATGTCATGTGGGTGGGTGGGAGGGGGGTAAATCAAATCGGTCATTGAGTCACTGACCGACTGACTGACTGACTGACCGGTGCTGAGAGTGCGACGAAGAGGACGAGTATGAAGAGGGAGACCACAGCGATGGTCAAGCCCATGTGCACAGTGGCCTTGGCCCGCCGGACATCACAATCGCCGATCGCATTGCCTGACCAGGCACCACACGTCCATCCATCCCTCCGTAGGTATGTATGCCTCTCCCCTCCCTCTCTCAGTGAGTGAGTGCGTGTCTGTCTGTCCGGGCCTGCCTACCGACAAGGATGCATATGGCGGCGTTGATGCCCCATGGGATGCTGATGAGCGCGCTGTACAGATTGAGCATCAGGGAGGCAGACGACACGAACACCGGGCCCAGCGGGGTGACCGAGAAGATCACCAGCTGCCACGCCCAGATCTCCAAACATACTAGCCCAGACCCCCACAGGCCGAGACGCACCCACTCCCGGAGTCCCTACACACACGCACACACACACACAGCCAGGTGAGGTGCGTGCTGTCTTCCATCCATCCCTACCTGTGTGTGGCAGACTTCGCTGAGGGTGAGAGAGCTCATCTTGGGGCCGTCGGCGATGCTTGCGTAGACCAGAAAGATTCCTGCCATGACCCATGAGGCCGCCACATAGCAGACGGTGGGCGCCCGGACGTCCCAGACCCCCGTGGCCTTGAGCACCACACATCCGATGATCACTGCAAGCAAGCAGCCAGCCAGCCAGCCACATGGACAGAGAACACATGTGCAGGAGTGCATCCATCCATCCATCCATGGGCATACTGGTGAGAAGGCTGGCTAAGGTCACCCAGATCTGCACGACCACCACGCCCTTCGACAGCTGCACACACGCGACCCGTCACACCGCACCACACCACACGCCACACTTTGCCTCTCTCTGTTGCCTCTGTCTGCTGTCTGTGTGCTCACGCACACACACGTGCACACGCACGTACATAAAATGTGTCGAGGGCCTCGTACAAAAACCGCGCTAAAATGGCTGGGAGCAACATCAGAACAAAACTTCGGGCCAGCTGGGTCGCAGGCGAGGCCGCGCCCAGAAGCGGCAGCAGATTCACGCCACCTGCACACGGACAGACGCACAAAGGACGTTGTCATACACCAATGGATGGATGGATGGATGGATGGATGGATGGTCTGCGGGCGTACGTACCCACAAGTATGACGATTGACAGCAGGAGGAATAGCGGGGGCAAGATGAGAAACGCCCGGGCAAGTGCGATGCAGGCCTCTCTCGGCCGCGACGCACCGAACGCCTGGCTGGCAGTCGTGTCTGAATCAATAAGCCACAATGACACACAATGAGTGAGCGAGAGAGGGGGTGAGGTGAGGCTGACACATGCGTGCATGCACGTGGGTGGATCGACTTACAGACAGCTTCACAGCAGCCCAAGCCGATGGCCCTGAGAGGGGTGCAAAGCAAAGAGCCCACGCGTGGGTGGGTGTTTGGCCTGTTTGACGGACCCCTGTGGGGCTGTGTGCTTACAGGCCAATGACGTTACACAACATGGCAGCCAAGCCCATCGCCTGCACCACACCAAACAGTCAGCAACGCATTGCATTCAGTCACGATCGCATGATGCGTGAGCCATGTGGCTGACCGCACCGCCTGCATCTCCTTGCCGAACTCGCCCACATAGCTCAGCTGCACCACACACGACAGACACCAACCGACACACACACAGAGTTACAGGAGGAGCTCGCATTTATGCATGTCTTCCTTCCCCTGCTTTCCTGCCTCCCTGCCTCCCTCACCAACACGAGGTTCTTTGTGAAGTCGAGGAGGTTTTTGAGCACCGCAGGGCATGCCGTCCGCAGAATTGCCACAGCTTCGCTGGGGCGAGTTGTGCCAGAGGTCACAGACACCGACTCGCTGCCTGTGGGCAGCCACTGTGTCGTGATGGTGGAGGGAGCGAGGGTCTCCTGCGTGTCGAGAGGCGCCGCTGGGTGGCGTCTGAGGAGCGGGGAGTCCTCGTGATGCTCCAGAATGCACGACGAAGACGCCATCGACGAGTCCTCTTTGCCGCTCATTCGCGATGAAGCTCTAGGCCGCACTAGCTGGGCAAGCAGGGTGCGGCTGGGGTGCGGATTGGCGGAAGAGTGCTTGACGATCGCAACGTCTGCGAGCTTAGACTCCGTGTGAATCAGCTTTCGGTTCGAGGCTTGGCTCCAAGGACTGCTCTCTCAGCTGGTTCATAGATCCAATCATGAGTCTGTTGATTCATCATACCATGAGGCGTGGAATTGACTGACTGAGATGGTGGTGTTTCACACGAGGCCTGAGTGGCTGAAGTGGTTCATCGACAACGTCAAGGAGCGCAAAGGTGACGCCCTCTCACGAGCCTTCACGCCGGAGCGATGCCTCGACCAGCTAAGACGACTCACTGAGGTGCGGTACGCAGCCAGAGAGAGCGATTTCTGCATGCCTTCCCATGCCACGCCACCCATTCAATGTGCTCTCTTGTTTGTCTGTATCTGTCTGTGCAGAGGGATGTTGGGCTCATTTTGCGCGAGGTGGAACGGCAGATGACGAAGCGCGTGATGGAGGCTTTCAGCGCGCCCATCCGGGCCTACTTCTCCATGCTGGCGCACGTCGACTCCCCCACACAACTCGACACGGCAGTCAAGGAGGCCGTCGAGTGCGTCTAGTAAGTGGCGCTCACTGAGATCGAACCAACTAACAGCGTGTGTGATGACCTGTTGTGCTGTGCTGTGTTGTGTTGTGTTGTGTTGCGTGCGTCGTGTCAGCAAGTGGCTGGACATCTACGAGCAGGCCGACGACGATGGCTTCCTCATCCCCACCCTTGTCAGGCTGGCAGCCACAGCCAGAAAAGTCGCACTCAAGGTCGGTCGGTCGGCCAGCGACTGACCACCTACCCACTCAGACAGACAGACAGACGCCCCCCCCTGCCCCCTCCCTCTATGCGTGTGTGGTGGGTTCACTCAGGCGGATCAGTATTACAAGTTGGAGACTCAGGATGAGACGGGCGAGGAGGGCCGCTACATGGCTGAGGTGGTCGACAGGCTGCGGCGGGGGCTCAGCAAGGTCCCTCTCGACCGCAAGAGGGCCGGACACATCGTCATTACCACACAGCTCGTCAAGAGCATGACACTCGTGAGAACGGCGCGCCATGAAACAAAGTTGGTTGACATGCAGTCATATGGATGGATGTCTGTCTGTAATCAGGCCGACAACATGACGGCCGCAGCTCAGCAGCTCAAACGAGACGTGCCAGAGTCAGTGAGTCGCAAAGCAGAGCCACAGCAGACAGACAGACTTTCGATGCATCGACCAGTGGGGTGGATGTATGGACCGCCCATTGACATTGATGGACAGATTGGACAGTCGAGTGCCCAAGGGCCCCAGCGTCGAGTACGCCTACTACGTCGGCAAGATATACCTCTGGATGGGACGAACCAAAGAGGTCCGCTGTGCCGCACACACACATCACAAGCATAGCAGACCGACCGTAGCATATTGTGTGTGTGTGTGTGTGTGTGTGTGTGTCAGGCTGAGGAGCGGCTCACGTACGCGTGGCGGCGATGCCGGTCGACCCACATCAAAAACAACGGGTGGGCGTGTGGGCCTCTCTTCCTCCCCGACGAGTCGCGTTTGTCATTCGTGGTGGTGTTTGTGTATCTGGGACATAACAGGATCATCCTCAAGTGTCTGCTGCTGGTGCGGGCCAACCTCGGCAGGCTGCCCAAGCCGGGCATACTGCAACAACACGGGTAAGAGCGTGACTCTCCATGTGAGAGCGAATCTGTGTGAGTGTGGTGTGCATATGTATGCATCCAGGCAGCCGACGCTTGAGAGAGTGGCCGAGGCCGTGCGCAAGGGCAATGTCCGCGAATACAACGAAGGACTGGTCAGTCAGTCAGTCAGTCAATCAACCTCAGGAAGAGCGACGACAGCTGCCACCGACGGATGGATGGATGGATGGGTGTGTGTGTATTCATTTCGACAGAATGCGTTGGAGCGTGAGAGTCTGCGCGATGGGACCTTCTTGATGCTGGAGCACCTTCGCCCGCTCGTGCACAAGACACTCTGCAGACGCGTGTACCTGCTACACACCTTCTTAGACCATCCATCCATCCATCTGTTCATTTCATTGGTTCATGCGTGTAGGTATGCGTATCACCGTCGGAGGTTAGTGGAGCGGCAGCAGATGTCCGGTGGGCCGCCCCCCACAGCCAAGGAGATGAACCAGATGGACATCGCCATGTTCCACGCCGCATTCGGCTGGCAAACAGACGACCCGGACTTCGATGCTGATGAGGTCCGTCGGTGGGAAGGGGGGGGTGGGGGTGGGGACGCATGGGCATCTGGAGGAAGGAATGTGTGTGTGTGTGTGTGTGTGCAGATGATCGGCATTCTGGCGAATCTGATCTACCTGGGGCACGTCAAGGTGCGGTGGGCGAATGCATCAATCAGTGAATGAATGCATGTCTGATCTGAGTGAGTGAGTGTGTGCCTTTACAATGTGCGTAAGGTCCTGTCTATCTACCTATCTGTCTGTCTGTCTGTCTGTTTGTGTGTTTGTGCCTATAGGGCTACATCTCGTATGAGCACCAGAAGAGCGTCTTGGCGCCACAAGACCCGTTTCCATAGCTAGCTGGGAAGGAGGAGGGGCAGCTTGGTCCGCAAGTCACAGGGGCGTCTGATATGGGGGCTTGGTGGGGGCAGGGGGCGGTGAGACGCCCATCGCATTCAAAGTCCGACCACAATGCGTCTGGTGCCCATGAAAGTAGCTTTTTGCACTGCTTTCCTTGCCTGCTTTTGGAGAGCGGCGTCCTCTCGTTTGTCACCGCCAAAGAAGGGTCAGCCACGAACGCTTGTTCTCCTGTTCGATGGGACTTTGGTCGATAGAGTCAAGGCCGAGATTGATGCATCCCTCCAGGCGGCAGAAACCTCAGAACTTCCAGGGTGGCTCCTCTCCAATGTGGGCCAAGTGTGGGAAAACATCGAAAGGTAGGGAGAAAATGCATTAACACATACTAGCGTAACGACAGGCAGAGTCTGACGGTCTCTCATGAAATGAACTGTGTCAAAGGTCGAATCCAGACCTGAAGGTCATCACGCAATACTTTGGTGGCGTGGGCACCGAAAAGGTGAGGCTGACGTACATACACCTTTTTACACGGTATTGTATGTCACGCATGTGCCCACAGCTTTCGCTGACGCTTCCTGAAAGGCTCGGACTCAGTCGGCCATCGGTGGGAGGCACCATCGGACTCCCATTGGCAAAACTGCGAGACAGCATCTCTGCAGCAACCGGCCATTCCCTCACTGACAGCGTCATAGACGCGATGCTTTGGCTGAAGGGAGTGAAGATGACCAAAAAAGACCGCCTGTTTATCTTTGGGTGAGTGAGTCGGCCCAGGAAATTACAAGACACCACTCGTCTTTTCTCACTGAATGCAGCTTCAGCCGAGGGACTCTTCAGGCGCGGCTGCTCCAAGGTGTGGAAGCACTTATTCAGAGAAAGAGAGAGACTGATGTATATATACACAGGCCTCCTTTACACCTTTGGGCTGCCTACGACATCTCGAGAAATGGAGTATCTGCGAGAAAACAAGCATTCTCTCATTCGATGGTCGGCTTACACGGAACCTGAAGGGCTAGGCGCAGCGTACATGGCGGACGAAAGCCGGAGGAGACCCGTGTGGTTCATGGGGCTCTTTGACGCGGTAGCCGACACACTCACGCTAACATACAACGCTTCAAGTGAGTGAGACATGTCAAAATGGATGCACGGAAGAAACATTTGGCGCTTGAGAGATTCAGGTCTGGTTCTGCGCATCGCTCCCACCACAAAGTTTGTACACCATGCCCTCTCTCTGGATGAAATGCGAGGCACCTTCGATGCCTTCCCTATCTCCTTCGAACCGGAGGCGTACAAGACCAAAATACATTTCAACACAACCACAGCAACGGTCATTACTAAGGGACATCTGAGCAGCTCCCTCACTCGGATACATGCACCTCCATTGGTTTCATGATGTCCACCTGTCCGCCTCTTCAGGAGCAACGTCCCTGCATCGAGAATGTGTGGTTCGCGGGCGATCATACAGACGTTGGCGGCGGATCGACCGAGAAGATCACGCTTTCGCAATTGCCGCTCAGGTGAGCAGGGAGCCTGCAGCACACATGACGGCAGGCCATTACAAGACTTGCTTCTAGGTGGCCCGTCTCTTCTGTTTGCACAGCTGGATGCTTCAAAAAGCCCAATCCGCCGGTCTGGGCTGAAAAGGGTCATGGCGCGACATGTTTGCGCCGTACAAGGCCATTCTCAATGCACACGTACACGATGAATCTCAGAAGCAGCAATGGAAGGTGAACAAGAAAATCTACCCATCCATGCCAGACAGTGACGCTGTGCCTCTCGTCTGGTCAATCAGATAATTTCGGTTGCCGCTTCCGCTCTCGCTCTTGTATATAATGATGCGGGACGAATGGCCGCCGTGACGAAGCCGCGCGACGTATTCCAATGCGCCAAGAAAGGGCCGGATGTGCTCGACAGACCCTTGTTGCATCGATCCGTGCTGGACCGTTTTCATCTCAAGTGAGTACCCAAAAGTATGAGTGTTCTCCTCTCGTGTGAACAGTGCTCTCTGCGTGTCTCTACAGTGGCGAGCTCCCCCGTTCATTGTGCTGTCAGGTCAGTACCCTCGTCCGCTTTGTGAAGCTGCGGAGGCTCCCCAAGTATCGGACGGCCGAGAGGACTACGAGATTCAGCTCAGAAGCGTTGCGGGCGCTCTTGGACGCGGTATGGAGATGTATTCGGTGTCGTTCACGGCTCCCGATAACCTGCTGAAAGACGAAGGCTTGCCCCATAACTTCCACGATGGCATAGACTACTCCCCGACCGCTGATTCACCGACCTGTCGCCACCCTGACTTGCTGCAGAGCTGCTGCCTTGTGCTGCATATGCGCCCCACCTGTACTGTGGACGACCTGCACGACCTCATGGGGAGATACAAGAAAGCCCACAAGGAATGCTCAGCCATGGGTTTGAGTCCGTGAGTCCACGGAAGCAGCGAGAAATTGCCGTGAAAACGAAGAGACTCTCGCTATGGAGATGAAACAAGTTTGTAAGTGTCGCCTGCCATGTCCGGCACTGACTCACATACAGAGAGATGCACATGGAAATACGCAACGTCCGCAATGCAGAGACAGAGACACGGGCCCCGCTCTACAGACCTGTGACACAGACCCGCCGCTACGCTGTCAGCTGTCCATGGCATAGCTGGCATGATTCAGTGTGCAGAACAGCACAGTGCAGCACACCGCAGCCCGCCTTCATCATTGGCTGGTCTTGCTCTCCGGAACGTCAATCTCATGCTCAGGCCCAGTCAGCCGAATGACTCTTCATCGGCGAGGAACGAACACACGAAGCTCCCCACCGCCGACGTGTATGTCTGTTTGCCTCGCTGTCCGTGTGTGGTGTGTCTGTCAGATCATCCCTTTGAGCGAGTGTTGTAGCTATCAATGGACAGATGGATGGACAGATGGATGGATGGAAGTGTAGATGGACAGCACGAGACGTGTTCATGTCCATGTGTGCTGATGACGCCGTGAATGCGTGTACCCGTGTTTGTCTTCTCTCTGGCTATCCGGCTGCTGTCTGTCTGTCGGCCTGCTATACAGTCCACCGCCCGCCGACACACCACGCACGCACAAGAGACAGATAGACGGACCGACGGACTGGAGTTCTTCGTCGCTCATAAACAAGACAATCTCTGCCTGCCTGCCAGTCTGCCTGTCCGTCCGTCCGTCCGTCAATCAATCCCTCAACGAATCGAATGAATCATCTTGCAATGTTCTCGGCCATGAGGTCTTCGGTCGGCAGGCTGTAGATGAGGGCCGAGTTGTCAAACTTGCTGCCAAACGTCAGCACACTCCCACCTGATTGATTAATGTGATCGATGCCATGCATCGATCGCACGGACGATCGGTCGACACACACACACCAACCAGCCCAGCCCCACAGGTACCCTACCGTAGCTTACCAGGTATGAAGTTGACTTTTTTGGACTTGAGCAGGCCCGGGCGAGGGGGAAAGATCAGCTGCGGCGGACTCACAATGCCCTGGGCTGATTGCAATATGTAATGGCGTGGCGTGGCGTGGCGTCAAGGGAGGGGGGGTGGGTCACAGCGACACAAACAACGGTCACATGCATGTGCGGGCAGGTGCCACAGCAGAGGTGAGTGAGTGGGTCGCTTACTTCCATTGCCCACTTGGCCGGCGAAGCTGCTGCCCCAGCCGAAGATACCGACTGAGTGACACAACAGACAGACAGACAGACAGACACACATGGGTGAGGGAGTACTGCATGGGGTGGATGGGAGGGTTGTGAGTGAGCCCACGTACTGTCTCGGACGAATGCCAGGCAGTGATTTTCCCCACAGTGGATGTCCTCGGTGAACGACTGGTGCGGCAGCTGCACACAAACACGGGAGGAGAGAGAGAGACGTGTGTGTGTATGGCTGTCTGGGTGGCATTAGGTCAGTCAGGTCACCTTGCACTGTCTGAGAATCTGCTGCTGTGCCTGCAGGTTGCGGCCACACTGGCCGAACATGTTGTTACCTGCACACACACACAGGTACCTACGGGGGTGGGAAGACAGACGGAGAGACACAAGAGAAAGGCTTTCTTTGCTTTGTGTGTGCGTACGTACCGCAGCAGAAGACAAAGTTGCGCTCTTTCCGCATCTCCTGGCCCTTCTCGTGGGTGTGGCTGATGTGCCTGCGTGGGTGGGCAGGCAACACAGACATACATGAATGAATGAGCATGGGTGTGATGTGCCTTATGGATGACGCGTGCGTCGCCGACCAGAGCACGGAGGGCTCCTTGAATTTGAAGCACGTGTGCTCACCGCCACAGGCCACCTTCTCTGGCGCACTCCACACAGCTGAACACCCACACAACACACAAAGCGGGCGTGCGGGTGGTACGGTACGCGTTGTTGTGTCAATATATTGTGTCATCGCGCCACAGACAGACTCACTGTCTTCATCTCCCGCCTCTGGCGCGAGGATGGGCACCGGATTCCACTGGATGTGCCGTTGATAGTAGCCGTACTTGACGCGGCTCGGAACCCTACCCACCAGACCTGATACGACAGGACACCCACACACCCTTCTCTCGTTCCGATGATGGATGCCTCCAAGGATTCACATATGTCTCGCTTCTGGGATGGTATGTATGAATCATTCACCACCCCACCCCACCCACCCACCGTGTCTGAGCTGTTCCTTCCAAGTGCCGCCCGTGACGCTGCCTGCACAATGAATGATCGACCGACACGCACACACATACACACGTGCAGTGCAGTGCAGTGCAGCAGCGGGCTGACAGACCGACCGACCGAATGTGGTTCTGCTGTCGCCCAGCGCCAGCTGGATCTTGTCGTCTCTGCCCCACCTGACAGACATTGATGAGTGAATGAAACAGACGATAGATACAAACAATGAGTGAATGCAATGTCGGTGTTTTGTGTCAGTCGGTCATCGAGGTGATTGTGGTGGGTTGGCTCACGCGAATGTCATTCCGTTCCTGTCGGTGGCCAGGGTGTGGTGCTTGCCGCACGCCACTCGCTTCACCCTGATCGAGGGGTCACCGAAGTCTACCTGCATGGACGCACACACACGCATACGCATGTAGGTGTGTAAGTACGCGTAATGGGTGTGGTGCACCCGTTGGTGTGCTTGGCCGGCTTGCCTTGTGTAGAGTGACGGGATCCGATGTGTATTTGTAGTTGGGCATCACGGCACACTCACCATGGTCATTGCCGCCATGCATGTCTGCACCACACCACACCACACCACACACAAAGAGACAGACAGACAGACAGAATCCATCCCCCTCCCCCCTCCCCCGCCCATTTATTCATTCATTCATTCATCGGCTTACAAAGCTCCCCACTTCTGGTGACGAACCCCGCGTGGTCATGCCCCACACTCATCTGCGTCACATAGTCGTTCCACCACAGCTTCCAAAGGTTGGGTTCAGGCAGGCCCGGTAGTTTCTCAGGCGATGGCAGATCCACACCGTCACCCTCACTGTCATTGCCTGTGTTGACCTTGGCCTTGCCGACGAGCCAGAAGGACGTCTTGCCCGTGTAGTTGGTCGCCGTGACGTTAGTGTAGGGCGCATTGATGTCGACGGACTTGGCCGCCAGTAGCTCGGCCGTAGACATGTCTGAGGACGCTGGGCTTGCGTCACTCGAGCTGCTCATAGCCTCCATTTCCCTGTTTTTGTGGGCGGTAATCTGCTCGGCCATGTCGCGAATCGTCTCGGCGATCTTGTCGTAATAGTAGACTGCATGCGCGACACAAGCCAGCCAGCCAGCCAGCCAGCCACACCAACAATGAATGGTTCGTTCTGTGTGTCTGCTGATGGACTGACCGATGTTGTTGTCACTGAGTGCGAAGATCTGTCCGCTGCCGCACTGGACGTCCTTGAACTTGAGGCCGCCCTGGTCCATCTTGAACGGCATCACGTAAACTGAGGTAACCCAGCCCACCGGCACACGCACACACATGACATGCACACATGGCCATCCACCAGGGTACACATGTGACACATGTAGGGGGGGAGCACCTCTGGGTCCGTCGTCTCTCCTGGGTGCCTGGGTGCTGCGGATGATCTCGGGTTCCTTGCCGGTCACCCGGCGCTTGAAGGTGTACCTGGTCAGCCAGTTGATGACCCACATGGGCACCCAAAGCGGCTGCCACTCCTCCACTGGCTCCGCATCGGGATTGGTGTTCTTGCCAGTCACCTTGGCTGAACGAACCAAGCAACAAACAAACCAGAAATACATACATACATACAACGCCCGTCGTGTCGTGTGGGTGGATGGGTGAGAACCATGAAATCATTCGCTCATTGTGCATGTGTACACGTGTGTCTGCGTATGTGTATGTGTATGTGTGCCTGGTATGACGTATCCCTCGTCGTCCTGCATGACTTCCGATGCCGTGGGCAGGTGGATGTCGTCGGCCTCCCCCCAGCTACCCCACACCCACAACTCACCGCTGAACGTCAAGCCAGCTGACTCACGCAGACACCACACACACGCAAACACATACATGTGAGCAGAGAGAGAGAGAGAGGCATGGACCCGTGTCCCTCCCTCCCTCCCTCCCTGCCTGCCTGCCTGCCTGCCCGCATGCCTGCCTGACCTCCAAAAGTCGGCCCAAATGTGATTTGTTTCCAACCGAACTGGTTGTCTGGCGTATAATGACACACAAATGTATAATATTAGGAGAAATGCGGCAGTGTACACACGAGCCGGACAGTATCATTCATTGATCCATCCATCCATCCATCCATTCTTTCTTTCCTTTTTCTTTCATGCTCTTTTGAGTGCTCACCCCTGAACCAGTCGATCTCCTGCGGCACCAGTATGTCTGTATGAATTGCAATGCAATGCAGCACAACCAACAAAGGATATCAAACACAACACAACACAACACAACGCAGCATGCCATCCATCCATCCAGTCAGTCAGTCAGTCACACTCATTCACTCACCGCTTCTGCCGCCTCCAGGATAAGCGAAGCGCTTGCCCCAGCAAAACACCTGCACGGCACACACGGACACGCCGGCCGCAGTGGGTGTGTTTGATTGATTGATTGCGTGTTGTCCTGGCTGCAGGCACCTGCTGCTTGGGCGTCGGCGCATCTTTCGCCTTTGCGTGCGCCACCGAAGTCCGCCTCTTGTAGGACGTCAGCACATACACACCACACGTCGTCGTCAGACCTGCACAGAGAGATACACACAAAAGATGAGAAACAAAGGCGATGGAATGCAATGGTTGCGTCATCTACACTTTCATTTTTTATGACCGATTGCTGCTGCCGACGCTCTCCATGACGGTGATCTTCGCAGCAGCACACTCCACGAAGGCATCCCTCCTCCTCTGCAAAATGAAATAGCTCGCATCTCGTCGCTCTCGCAGGGCAGCAGTGAGCAGCACCAGCCCGCTCTGGCATGGATTGGTGACATGGATCTATCGAATGCATACCCATGTGATTGAGCCGAAAGGCAGCAGCCGAATGAAGTACCGTCTGTTCCCTCCCGTCGGGCTGCTGACGTGTCTGCGGCGACTGCACATTGCCTACCACCCGGGGCGAGAAAAGACCGAAGCCGCAAGGTGATAGTCGCACTTGAACAATGAGAAAGGGCAAGGGCAGGGCAACTGATTGATGAGTGCGTATGCAGGCGGCTGATAGTGTGGGCGACGTCTGAGCCAGTCAAGAGGCGGCATCCGCATCTGCAGGTTTCCTGGGAATTCCTTGCGTAAGGGACTGAGTCAGTCAGTCAGTCAGACAGACAGGCAAACAGACAGGCAGACGGGTGTGTTGTGGGCGTGTGTGAATCGAGCCGAATCGATTGGGTGTGGACTATGGGTGGCTGTTGGGATGGCATGCAGGTACGATTCGCCTGCCTACATGGATGTGGAGTACTCTGACGGACGACGGCAAAAGTGAGCAGAACGACCACCGAAGCCCCGCACTCACACCCTTCTCTGTTTCTGTGTGCCAGGCTGCTGATGGAAGAGTTCAGCTCGCGAGAGAAGCAGGCCATTGTCGACCAATGGAAAGTCACTGGTAGGGAGGGACACATACACCGCCAACGCACCAGATGCACTAATTCGTGTGTGTCGGCGTCCGTTCGTTGGCTCGTTCACAGCCAGCATGCAGCCGTGGCCTGAGCATGAGATTGATGTTCCGGAGAGCAAGACCAGCCAATGATGAAGGCGGGCTGCGGTGTGCTGCACTGTGCTGTTCTGCACACTGAGTCATGCCAGCTAGGCCTTGTACAGCTGACAGCGTAGTGGGGGGCACGTGTCCGTTTCTATCCCTATCTCTAGCCAGTATGTCTCTGCGCGTTGCGCATTACCGTGTGCGTGTCCCTCGCTGTGGGTGAGCGTGATACCTGTGTGGGAATTGTGGACTATCTGTGTTTGCGCATCAAGTGGGTTGCGTACGTAAAGATTTCCTGCTTTCAATCGCTCCTGACAGAGGTCTCATCCATCAATCCATCCATCCAGTCAGCCGAGCACAAGCAAGTCCACGCACACACTCAGAAATGAATGACGCAAAGAAGGGCAGTCATGCAGCCATGGAGGAGGCGCATTAAATGTGCCTACTGCGCGTTGTGTGGTCACCTGGTCTGTCTGTCTGTGATCAGGTTGATTGTTGGCCGTTTTCTTGACGATTTATGGATACGTCCGGCCTCCTTGTACAGCATGATTGAGACCATCGGACGCACTATCATCTGAGGTACAGAGACGAGGGCACACATATAGGGCATCCATATCCACAGATGTGCAGACACATATGAGCACTCACTCACTGTGTTGTGCCCTGTGGTGTTGTGTTGTGTTGTGTTGTGTGTGCTGTGTGCAGTTCTGTCGTTGTGGCCGTTGCTATCGCTCAAGTTACTTTGTTTACCGTTCAGTTACTTTGTTTTCAGTCCACAGCCCCAGAGCTGACGACAGGGGCGTGAATGTGCTGCAGAAGAATGGACGCCTGGTGGCAGCCAGCATCCCGCGATACCTGTTTGACGACATGAGGAAACAGCTGACGTGCCGAAGGGCCGACGCCACACTTGACCACAGGCTGCTGCAAGGATGGGTGGGGATCCGGCGATACGGCCAAGGGCTGGAAGATTGGCTGAAGCGGCATCGAGAGGCGTACCCGTCTGGGCAACGTCACGCTGCCACTCGGGCTCACAGACGATGAATTCAACCTGCTCGTCGATCAGGCACAGCGGAGGGTGCGTGAGCTGGGCACGGACCCGGCGGCTGACGCACTGCCCATGAGCCGTTTCCTTTGTTGGGTGGCGTCATGGGCGTCATGCATGCATGAGCGATGAAAGTGAGGTGGAAAGGGAGCACTAACACCACATCCCGTCTCTGCAACAACAGAAGGCTGCATTCCTCTTTGTTGTGTGTGAAGCGAACATGTGAAGAAGGAGAGCCAGTCAGAGACGTGGTGGCTCGTCGTTATGGTGCGACGGCATTTCTCGTGCAGAGAGACATTCTTTGTCGAAGGTGCGTGAGAGATGTCGACATAGGCGTTTGTCGGCTGCGTTGAATGCCCATGACCAAGGTGGATGGATGGATAGAACTGATGGGCCCGATGGATCATTCGGTTGACATGTTTGAGTGTCTGGTCGGTGTCTCTGTCCATCCCATCCCATCCCGTCATCTGTGTACCCCCATAGATTGTGACGACTCATCTCCCCCTCCATCCCTCCCCTCCCCTGTCCGTGGCTGCCCCACCCCCTCCCGCATGAAAGACGTGCGGGTATAAACACGGAGTCCGCCAGTCACACATATCAGACCAGAGCCCGATGAAGGAGCACTCTTCAAGAAATAAACGACTGACACACACCGACGGGCGCTGAGAGCGCCTCCATACACCCTGGCTCCCACACCCCAAAAAAATAAACACAAACAAAAAAGGCAGAAGCAAAAACAAAAAACCAGGCACCGCACCGACCAGTCCACGACACGCTTCTGTCATGCACCAGACTATGTGCATTGAAGAAACATTGCAGAAAGAGATTGACCAGCCACCAGGCCGCGGCTGGATGGATGGATGGATGGATGGAGGGG